AGTTAGACAAACACAACACAAAAGAATACAACAAATCTTTGTATCATTGAACAAATATTCAACACAGAAACAAATGTGATACATTTTAAACTAACATTCTACAATATTTATCACTCACTTATCCATCCCAGGTTGCCTCAGGATCTCCCACCACACCTTCTTTGAAAGAGCGCCATGTTCTCCTTATATGTTTCATGGTGTTGTCTCCCATGGGGTTAGAACAGTGAGTTGGAAATAGAAAAGCACAGGAAGCGGTTAGAGATTTCTTTCTATGTGATGGACACAGAATGAATCATCCTTTCTGTCACATAGAAGAAGTACGTTTCTTCACTTCAGTTTGTTTTCTTCCAGTGTCATGGATTTCCTCAGTTTTCTGTGCAATGTGATTGTATTAATGGTGTTCTCTCTCCTAGACTACTTACTAGTCATTGACCATGCTCACACCCACAATAATAATACCATCAATTTCCACGTCTTTCACCCTCTTTTCTCAGATTTCAGTTCTCTGGCCAATCTCTATCTTTTGTCTGTTTCTATGTAGCCACAGTTACAGACATTTAGGTTTGATATCTCCAATGCTTGGTTAATCTAGTACCATCTAGCTTCTGCTCAGTTCTTCTGAAATTATTTCATCAGGAAACTCTTTAAGTAAGTCCCTCTTGATCTTAAATTAATTACTTCTCTTTATATCTCAATGATGTGACAATTTTATTTCCATGAAATCTGCATATTTTATCACTCCATTCCTTACTTTCTTCTCTCCTTGACTTTTTTCTCTCAGCTTTATATGTTTCCTTAAATCCAGTAGTTAGCAATAGTCTATTTCCCTTATTGATCAAAACTTTTTTCTTCCAAGGAAAAAGCACTCATTTCAGTATTAGTGCTGCCCAACTGTGACTCCAATTGAAGTTTCTCTTCAGCTTCAGGTATGTATTAAATGGATGGTTTATTGACACAGAAACTTGCACAAAGTTGAACTTAATTATTTCACACCTCTGTTCTTCCTGCATTTTACATTCTAATTTCTCATAGCACTCTATGTATCAAAGCATATAAGCCAGCCCCATAGGAACCTTGCCTAGTTTTTCTATCTCTGTCTTGTCATCTCTCACACCCCTATTCCATCACTTTTGTTTGCTTATTCTTGGTTTCCTTTGCAATGCTGGGGTTCAGGATCAAATCTGCAGTAATGCAAAGCAAGTACTCTACCATCAAGCTGCAATCCAGGCTCTCAGAGTCTTACATTCACACTGCTGTCACTGCTGTAGTATGGCCTACTACATCACTGTATGCTTCCTGAAATAATTTAACTTTATCCTAAACGTGTGCCTCTAATAGACTGCTTGAGGGGCTTCAGGCAATCTGACTCCAACTTCAGATTTAGGGTCAAGACCTTATTGACCATCTGATTATAGCAAGGATACCTTACTTAGCATTGACTCATTTATGAGTTCAAATAAGTCAAGATGGCTGCCAATTACATTGCAATTATTACTTTTCCAGATATGGATATTTATCAAGATTTATCCCAACAGATTGAGACAAATCTGTCATTTTCATTCTTTTCTGGATTAAGATGTCATTTTTCTCCCACTACATGAAATCAATGACACTATGACTTTGGCAGGTACAAACGATGTTTCATTTCCTTAAGCTTCTTTATAATTGTCATCTACATAATATTTACATAAGGCTGTTATAGATTTTCAAGTCCTAAATTTAAAATAGAAATACATATTTTTTTGACCAGGACTCCAAAAAGGATACTTAAAGTGTTATACTACATACATTTATATTTTTATATGTTCTACACTTTGGCATTCTCATCAAAATATTTTCTGTAACCTTAAAACCATACCTCAGTTTCATTCAACTTTGCAATATAGTTTCCATTGCAAAAATAGAACATGTGTGTTTATGTTCTGTCTTCATTGTTCATCTTAGAATCTAATGTAAAGCATATGTTTATAGAAGCTCTTTTGAACATGTCTATTTTTGGAAATGAGTCAGAGTTTTCTATGATATGTGCTCCTGAGGCTGAGATGGCAGTGGTAACAGAACAGACACTTTCAACCTAGAGAATACGAGTAACTGGTTTCCAGAACACTTCTACCACGTGGCACACTCACCAGCACCCTAAGAATTCCTATAGAACCACTGTTCTCTAGGAAAGAAAGCAGAGCTAAGCACAAAGAACAAGCTGCTAAGAATCTCCGACAAAAGCAGATGCACAGACCCATACCCACCCAAACATTAGGCATAGCGCATGGACATTTGCAGAAGATGGGAAGGAAAGATTATAGGAGCCAGAGGGGTCAAGAACACTATGAGAACATGATACATAGAATCAACTAAGCAGGGCTCACAGACAGGGGCTAAGATATTGAAGCAGAATGGGGAGCCTGCATGAGTCTGTGCTAGGTCCTCTATATACATGCTGTGGTTGTTTAGATTGTAGTTTGTAGGACTCTTAACAGGGGGAATAGGAGGAATGCTGACTCTTTTGCCTGTTCTTGAAACCTATTTCCTCCTACTAGATTGCCTCGTCCATGATTGATATGAGGATTAGTACTTATTCTTATTCTATCTTGTTATGCTGTGTTCAGTCGATATCACTGGGAAGCCTGCTCTTTTGTGCAGGGAAATGGAGAAGGACCTGCGTTAGAGGGGAGGTGTGTAGGGGGAACTGGGAGAAGTGGAGGAAGGGGGGACTGAAGTTAGAATGTATTGTATGAAAGAAGAATACATTTTTAAAAATTGAGGTTGCCAACTGAGAAACACAAACACTACATTTTCATATAAATACATCTTCCCTTTTGATATATTTTTAAGTGGATTCTGGGGATGAAACTCAAGTCCCTACAATTGAGAGGCAAGCTCTTTACTGACTGAGCCATCTCCTCAAACTTTCTTGCCCTTTGATAAGGAATAAAACCATGAAACACGGAATCAAACATCCCATTAAAATAAAAAACTGGAAGCCATAATATATATGAAAAGGACCTGCAATGGTTTGTTTCCCCCAGTGAAACACCAATGAAGAAAACTAAGTTTTCTGAAATGGCTGTCAATAGTATATAGCTTTCGGGTTAGAGATGGGGCATATGTCCACTTCTCTCAGATCTAGGACCCCATCTGCCACAGATCTATGCAAGCCTTGTGCATGCTGCCACAGTGTATGTGAGTTTATAAATATGCCAGCCCTGTTGTATCTAGAAGGTCTTGATTTCTTGGTACCCCTCATCCCATATGACTCTTAAACTCCTTCTGCCTCCTCTTCTGCAGAGTTCCCTGAGTTCTGAGAATTGAAGACCCAGATATATATCTACATACCTATGGACACCTGATTTTTTTAAATAAAGAAGCCAGAATTGAACATGGTGGGAAAAAGATAGCATCTTCAACCAATGATGCTGGTTAAACCAGACAGTAGTATGTAGAAGAATCCACATAGATCTATACATACCACCATTCACAAAACCAAACACAAAATGTATCCAAAGACCTCAAAATAAAACCTGATATCCTGAATCTGATAGAAGAGCAAATGGGGAATAGGCTTGAATTCATTGGAACAGGAAATTACTTCCTGAAGAGATCACAGCACAAGAACTAAGGTCAACAATTAATAAATACAGCCTCACAGAAGTGAAAAGCTTCTGTTAGGCAAAGGACTTTGTCTTTTGAACAAATGAATATCCTAGAATTTGGGAAAAGATTTTTACTGACTACACATATGATAGAGGGACAATATTCAAAATATATTCAGAATTTAAAAACTAGATATTTAGAAAACAAATAACTCAATTAAAAATGAGGTATAGATCTAAAGAGAATTCTCAAAACATGAAACTCAAATACTTAAAATGTTCAACATCCTTAATCATCAGCAATGCAAATCAACACTCCTTTGAAATATCTTACACCTGACAGATTGGCTAAGAAAAATTAAACAAATGACACCTCATGCTTCCATGGATGTGAAATAACGGGAACCCTCATCCATTGCTTGTGGGAATGCAGACTGGCATAGTCACTATGGAAATCAGTGCAGCAGTTCCCCAAGAAGATGAGAATTGACCCACCTCATGATCCAGCTATACCACTCTTGGGCATCAACCCAAAAGGCGCTTCATCCTACCACAAAGACACTTGCTCAAAGACACATGTTCATTGCTGCTTTATGTGTAACAGCCAGAAACTTGAAACAACCTACATGTCCCTTTTACAAGTGACATCAAAAAACAAACTGAGATGTTGACCCCTGACTTCCTCTTTGGCTGAGCAGGGGGTCTCTTCTTTTGCCACCATTGCATGTGCTAGACTTCCAGAATTCTATTGTCACTGCTTTACATCTCACGACATGAGTGCTAACAGGACAGAGGCCTGGTGGCATGTCTGCCTTTACATAGATTGTAGTGATCTATATATAGGTTCATATACTTGGGTGGGAAAATACACATTCTTCATCCTGCCAATCTGTTTCTTTTGTTTTCATTTGATATTTTTTATTTAGAAAAATTAGATTAGAAACAGTCTTATTTTACATATCAATCCCATTTCCCTCTCCTTCCCATCCTCCCATACCTCCCACCAACCCCAAACCCCCACCCCGTCCAACTCCCTAGCCACTCCCCAGGAAGAGTGAGGCCTTCCATGGGGGATCATCAAAGTGTGTCACATCATTTGAGGTGGGGCCTAGGTCCTCCCCCATGTATTTAGGCTAAGAGAATATCCCTCCATGGAGGAATGGGCTCCCCCACAATAAAACTAAGAAGAAATTCCTAATTCAGCCAGGTGGTTGTGGCACATGCCTTTAATTCCAGCACTAGGGAGGCTGAGGCATGCAGATCTCTGTGAGTTCAAGGCTAGCCTGGTTTACAGTGCTAGTTTCCCAGATAGCTATGGATGTTATACAAAGAAACCCTGTCTTGAAAAACAAAAAGCAAACAAAGGAAAAATTCCTAATCCATAAAACACAATCAGAAATCTTTCATAAGAGTATTATTTATTGTAAAAATGAAGATACACATAGGTACTTTTCTGCTGTAATTTCTCTTCTGATTTATAGCCTGGCCAGAAATCGTAAGAAATCTTCAAAGGATAGACTGTTGTCCTTAGAATGTGGACTCTCACAGGTTCTCCAGTCCTGCAGGTTTAAACCAAAAAGAGTCAGTCAACTTTCAGATAAAACGAGGTTATAGATTTTTCATACTGCATGTTGAATTAAAGGAGTGTGAGTAACAATGATTATTTCCTGTTTCACACTCTCCTCTGCCTGTCATGGTCATGGGATGTAGCCAGCCCTCCATGCAAACGCATATTAAGATTATCACTGCATCCAGAGAAACAGCAGGGAAAACTGGCTTATTTGTTCTTGCTATAAAAAGTCACTTTATTATAGTATTTGGAAAATATAATTTATTAATTAATGTACAATAATTTATGAAAAATTAAAATCTTTTTAGAAGCTTATTTTAACTTGAGAAAAACTGGCAATTGATTCAAGTTACCAGGCACTGTTAATAAAATTCAGGTGACAGTAAGACAGACATATGATGACATTAAATTTTATGACTTCTAAAATAAAAAGCCACAGAAAATGTATACTGCAGATTTCTGGAGTAATCTCTTTATGTCAAATCATCAATGAATACAATTTTTACTCTTAAAGATTAAAATGATCTATCTTGGAAGTCCAGTCTGATTTTCATGATATGATCTATAGTGAAATATCTAATTTAATTTATAGAATTGTTGTAAACAATTACCAGTGTGCCAAATAAAAAGTAACAAAAAATAGATATTAGGGGCTGGATAGATGGTTCAACAGGTTCAGCTCTAGCCAACAAGACTGATAATCTTAGTTCAATCCCTGGATCCTACATGGTAGAAGGAGAGAAAAAGTCCTAAAATTCCTCCCTCTCTCCATTTTCTCCTTTATCCCAGCTTGTAACTCCAGCACATCCTGGACCTCACTAACCCTCAGACCACTCCTGAAAAAGATCGACTGTCTATAGATTTTTCTCCCCTTCTTCTATTACTCTAGATCCAAACCCCTGTCTCATACCCAGCAGTACAGAAGAATATCTGGTGTAACCTATCTTCATTGTACCCCCTCCTGTCCCCCCCACAATTCAAGGTATATGAAATAAGCAGATCCTGGATGATCACTCTGTTTTCCTCCCTGTTTCAAAAAACCCCTAAGATCCGTAGTTTATCCCATTCTAAGTGTCAGCTCCCAATACCCAGAAATACATTCTCCATGGATCATAATTTTCAGGTCTAAAGAAAATTTCCTACCAGGCAACACACAGGCATCAAACTTTCTGAAAACCCATAGACAAAACAGAAACTAAGGAACAAAACACCCATCCAATAAAGACAAATCCAGAAATCAGTACACTGAACTATAATCATCCCAATTTCAGATGCCTAGACAGCAGTGTAAAACAAACAGTTAATATCCAGGGCAATATGACTCCAATAGAGGCCAGGTATCCTACTACACCAAGCTCTGAATATACCAACACAGCTGAAGCACAAGAAAAAGACCTTAAAACCAATATATGAAGATGATAGCAGTCTTTAAAGAGGAAACAAATAAATATCTTTAAAAACTCCAGGAAAAATAACAAGCAGTTTAAGGATATGAAGAAAACTGTTCAAGATCAGAAACCCAAACCGAGGGAATTCTGAAAATGAAAAATTCAGGACTTCAAGCAGAACTACAAAAGTAAACTTCCCCAGCAGAATCAAAGAAATGGAAGAAAGAATTTCAGTCACTGGAGACAAAAAAGGAATTAAACATCAGTTAAAGAAAATACTAAATTAAAAAAACTCCTGACACAAACATCCAGGATATCTGGCACACCATAAAAAGACCAAACCTAACAATAGTAGGACTGGAAGAAGGAGAAGATTCCCAGTTCAGAGGCCCAGGAAATATTTTTAATAAAATGATAGAAAAAACCTTAACTTAAAGAAGGAGATGATTATAAAAGTACAAGAAGTATGCAAAACACCAAACAGTTTGGATCAGAAAAGATAGACTCCTGGCCACATAATAATAAAAACACTAAACACAGAGAACAAAAAGAATATTAAAAGCTGCAAAAGAAAAGTGTCAAAAACACATAAAGGCAGACCTATTAGAATATACCTGACTTTTCACTGGAGATTCTAAAAGTCAGAAGGTCATGGATAGATGTACTTGAAACTCTAAGAAATAATAGGTGTGAGTTCAGATTACAATACCCAGCAAAATTTTCAATCACCATAGATGGAGAAAGTAAGATACTCCATGATAAAGCCAAATTTAAACAATATCTGTATACAAATCCAGTCCTACAGAAGTTGCTAGAAAGAAAACTCCAACCTAAGGCGGCTTATTGCACCCATGGAAACACAGGGAATAAATTATCTCACACCAGCAAAAGCAAAAGAAGGGAAACACACACACACACACACACACACACACACACAAACACACAACCACCTGAAAAAAACAGCAGAAATCAACAGCCAATGGTCACTGATAACTCTCAATATTGGTGGTCTCAATGCCCCAGCAAAAAGACCCAACCTAACAAAATGGATGAAAAACCAGTACCCACTTTTCTACTTCATTTAAGAATCATACCTCATCTCTCTAGGATAGATGTTACCTCAGGTTAAAGGTTAGTAGAGGATTGTCTGAGCATGTGAACCTAAGGAGCAAGCTGGTAAAGCCCCTTTACCATTTAACAAAACAGACTTCAAACTAAAACTAATCAAAAGAAGTAGGGAACGGTAGTACATAAAGAAATAATTCACCAAGATGACATTTCAATTATTAACATCTATGCCATAAAAACCAGGGCACCCAAGTTTGTAAATGAAACATGACTACCACTTAATTCACATATTGACCCTCACTAACTGATAGTGGGAGGCTTCAATACCCTACTCTCATCAATGGACAGGTCATCCAACCAAAAGTGCAGTGAAGAGAGGTACTGGAGGTGTTAGACATTATAAACTGAATGGAGATAGATATTTATATAGCATTTCAGCCCAAACCAAAAGAATATACCTTCTTCTCTGCACTTGATGGAACTTTCTCCTAAATTCGCCATGTGTGTGGACACAAAGCAGGCTCAACAGATACAAGAACATTAAAATAGCTCCCTGTACCATACCATACCACCACAGATTAACATATATCATCAAAACAGAAACAACAGAAAGCTTACAAGCTCCTAAAAACTAAACACCTTTCTACTGAAAGAAAAATGAGTTTATGCAGAAATAAGAAAGGAATTGAAGACTTTCTATAATGCAATGTGTCTTAGTTAGAGTTCTATTGCTGTGAAGAGACACTATGACCATAGAAACTCTTATAAGGGAAAATATTTAATTGTGACTGGCTTCAGAGGTTTAGTCCACTATTGTCCTGGTAAGAAATTTGGTATCATGAGCGCGGACATGGTGCTGGATAAGGAGCTGAGAGTTCTACATTTTGATGCAAAGGCAGCAAAAGTGAAAATTATGTCATAAAGCCTAGCTTGAGCATACATGACCTCAAAGCCCGTACTTTGACACACTTCCTTCAACGAGGCCACATTTCTTAATAATATCACTCCCCATAGGGCACATTTTCTTTCAAACCACCCTGTAATTTTCTTTAATTGTTTCTGCCTTTCAAGCTACATCTATCCTACTCAGCAACTGCCACCCTGAAGCTACCACAGCAGCTAGGCTACAAGAGCCTAAGCCTGAGGGAGCTCTGTTCACTCAGGCACCCACTCTTTCAAAGCTACTAAGGAAACTTATTTAAATCTCTGTCCGGAAAAGAAATCAGTAGTCAAAGGTTGAGGTAGAATCCTGCTTCCCAGAGAGGGTGAATAGCAAGTAACTCACCTAGCTCATTTCCTCCAGTCTCCCAAGAAGTCCTTGTGTATTTTATTGCCTCTCCTTAAAAACCCTTCTCCACCTGACTCCTCCCAACAACAGCCTGTCAGTTAGTTGCTGACCCAGTCTCCTGACCGCAGGTAAATTTTATTTAATCAAACACATCTTTGCATCGTTAAACAAATGTTCCAGAGCATAAACAAATGTAACACACCTTAAAATAATATTCTACAATGCCACCAACAGTGAATTTAAGCACACAGCTTACCCAAACTAATGAGACACAATGAAAGTTGTTCTAAGAGGCGAGTTCACAGCACCAAGCACCTGCTTAAAACAACAACAACAAAAAAAGACTGCAGGCGTGCGCCACCACAACCGGTGACAGAGAGAGAGGAGTGATGAGCAAATTGGCAAAGAATGGGCTGGCAAAACCAGCAGAGACAGCTGATCTGAACAGGGGAGTGCTCTTGGACCCCAGACCGACAGTGGGGAGGCCAGCATGGGACTGATCTGGACCCCCCCAAATGTGAGTGTCAGTGAGAAGGCCTGGGCAACCTATGGGGCCCTGAGCTGTGGATCAGTGTCTATCCCTGGTATACAAACTGTCTTCAGGTGCCTATAGCACAAAGAGAGATGCTCTCTCAGCCTGGACTCTTAGGGGAGTGCCTTGACCCTACCAAGAGTAAAGTGACAGACTCTAGATATCCCCTATGTGGAAGGATTTGGCAATAGGGTGGGAGGGAGGGGGGGGGAAGGGGAGTGCTGGAAGAGGGGAGGAAGAGGGAACTGGGATTGACATGTAAAACAAGCTATTTAAAATTAAAATAAAAAATGATAAAAAAAGACTGCAGGGATCTTATACTACCAACTTAAAACAACACTGGAAAGCTCTAGAACAAAATAAGTAATCACAACAACCAAGGGAAGTGGAAGACAATAAATAATCAAATCCCAGGCTGAAATCAATAAAATGGAAACAAAGAGAACACAAATAATCATTGAAACAATGAGTTGGTTCATTGAAATATGAACAAAATAGACCAACCCTTATTGACACTAACTTAAAAGAATAAAGAAGATGTTCAAATTAACAAAAGAAAAAAGAAAATATACAACAACAGACACTGTAAAACTACAGTGAATCATAAGGATATATTTGAAAACTCCACCAAAATGAAAAATCTAAACTAATGGGTAATTTTCTCCATAGGTACCACTTACCAAATTTAAATCAAGACCAGATAAATAATCTAAATACCCATATTAAATCCTATTGAAATAGAAGCAGTCATTAAAAGTCTCCCAGTCAAAAAATTCCCAGGGCCAGGTTGTTTCAGTGAAGAATTGTACAGAATTTCAGAGAAGAATTGAGACCAATATTCCCCAAATTATTCCACAAAACAAAAGCAGAAGAAATATTGCCAAGCTCATTTCATGAGGCCGTATTTACCCTGAAAGCCAAACCACATAAAGATCCCCAAAAGAAAGAAGTAGAGAGAAATTTTCCTTATGAACATAGATGCAATAATATTCAATATATCTACAAAGTAAATCTAGGAACACATCAAAAGATCCTTCACCATGATCAAATAGGCTTTATCCATAAGATACAGGAATAGTTCAATGTACAAAAATAAAGAAATGTAATCCACTAAATAAACAAATTGAAAGGATAAAACCACTCATGGTCATCTCATTAAATGTGGAAAAGGCCTTTGACAAAATCCAATATGCCTTCATGATAAAAGTCATGGAAAGAAAGGGATACAAGGGGCATAACTCAAGATAATAAAAGTAGTTTATAGAAACCATAACCAACATCAAATTAAGTGGAGGGAAATTTGAAGCAGTTCTATTAAAATCAGGAACAAGTGAAGTTTGCTCACTTTTTCCATACATATTCAATATAGCAGTTGAAGTCTTAGCTTGAGACAATTGAAGGAAATCAGGTAGATACAAATTGGAAAGGTAGAAGTCCAAATATCATTATATGCTGATGACATGATAGTATAGATAAATGACCCTAAAAATTCCACCAGGAACTCCCACAGCTGATAAACACCTTCAGAGAAGTGGCTGAATACACAATTAACTGAAAAAAAATGCAGTAGCTCTTCTACATACCAGTGAGAAATGGACTGAGAAAAAAATCAGGGAAATAATACCTTTCACAATGGTCTCACATAATGTAAAATATCTTTAGGTCACTCTCACCAAAGTGAAAACTTTATGAAATTAAAAACTTAAAAGGTTTTAAAGAAAGAATTTGAAGAAGACATCAGAAGATGAAAGGATCTCCGATGATCACAGATTGGTAGTATTAACATCATAAAAAATGGTCTTCCTATCAAAAGCAATCTATAGATTAAATGTAATCCCCATCAAAATTATAAGACAATTCTTCATAGAACTTGAAAATAAAATTATCAACTTCATATGGAAAACAAACAAACAAACAAAGCCAAGATAGTTAAAATGAAAGAACTTCTGGAGATGTCACCATTTCCAATTTCAAGTTGTACTTCAAAGATATAGTAATAAAAATCACATGGTATTGGCATAAAAATAGATACATTGATCAGTAGGATCTAACTGAAGTCCCAGACATGAATCATCACACTTATGGACACCTGCGTTTTGATAAAGGAGCCAAAAATACACACTGGAAAAAATACAGTATCTTCAACAAATAGTGCTGTTCAATGTGGATATCTATATGTATAAGAATGCAAATAGATCCACACTTAGTACCCTGCACAAAACTCAACTCCAAATGGATCAAAGACATCAACTTATTGCCAGACTTATTGAACCTGATGGAAGAAAAAGGGAGAAAAAAGCCTTCAACATTTTAACACAACAGACAATTTCCTAAACAGAACACCAGTAACTCAGGCACTAAGATCAACAATTAATAAATGAAACCTCACAAAACTGAAAAACTTCTGCAAAGTATACCTTCATTTGGACAAGTCATCAACCTGTAGCATGGGGAAAGTTTTTTACTAACTCATGTCCAATGGAGGACTAATATCAAAATATATAAAGAACTCAAAAAACTACGTAGCAAAATGCTAAATAATATAATTAAAAATGAGGTACAGTTCTATATAGAGAATTCTCAATAAAGGAAACTCAGATGATTAAGGAAAACAAGAAAGGTTCAACATTCTTAGTCAACAGGGATATGCAATTCAAAATGACTCTGAGATTTCATCTTACACCTGTCAGAATGGCCAAGGTCAATAATACATCTGATAACACATGCTCTTGAGAATGTGGAGTAAGGGGAACACTCCTCCATTGCTGGTAGAAGTGAAAACGTGTACAGCCACTGTGGAAATTTATATGGTGGTTACTCAGAAAGATGTGAATCGATCTACTTCAAGGTCCAGCTATACCACTCTTGGCTATATGCCCAAAGGACACTTCATTCTACCACAAGGGCATTTCCTCAACTATGTTAGCTGCTGCTTTATTCATAATAGCCAGAAACTGGAAATAACTTAGATGTTCTTCAACAAAAGAATGGACAAAGAAATGTATTACCTGGAGTATTACTCAGCTGTTGAAAAAAATGACATCATTAAATTACAGGCACATGGATCATAGTGGGAAAAAATCATCCTGAGTGAGATAACACAGACCCAGAAAGGTAAATATGGTATGTATTAACTTATATGTGATTATTAACCATTAAATAATGATAATCAACCTACAATCGATGGACCCAAAGAGGTCATGTATAGAGGAAGGGAAGGGGGGGTGGAGAAACACATGGATCTGTTTGGGAGGAGAACACAGACTTTATGGGTGGACTGGGGGTGGCTGTTGATGGGAACGGGAAGAACAAGACCAGGTTAAAGGAGATAAAGTGAGAAGAGACAGCTGGAACTGATTCTCATTTGAGGGATGGTATGGAAAACTAGTGCAATCGAAACTACCCAATATGAGTGAAGTTGATCCAAATGAGGTCCCGCGATGCAGGAGTGGAATACAAAAGACTATCTCTTGCCTCAGATAAGGCTTCCAGTAGCAGAACTGTGCTGCATTCCATTGAGTTGTTGATCAAAGGGATTCTGTGGAAATCCACAAATAATCCAGGCTGTTGCTAAGACAATGGGTTTCCCTCAGCAGGACCCCATCGCCGAGGACAACACCCACACCACTCATTGAACATGGAGAAGTCCAGCAGGTGCCTACATGGAGCCTTCACCCGTACATCCTAGTCTCTTTGGTGTGGGAAGGTGCTCTGTAGGCAACCAAAAGAGAAACGTAAACACCATTCAAGCCACAGAACCTTTGACGTACAGTGTGTCCTCGTACAAGATAAGCTAAGGCGATGGTGGCACAGAACTTGCGGGGTGGCCAATGTGTTATTTGACTTAAGGCCCACTCCATGAGCCAGAAGTCATACCCAACCCTGCTTTGGTGACCAATGACCAGACTTTAGATGGCCCGGAGACCTAAGATAAAAGCAAACACTACTACTGCAAAGAAAAAAAAATTAGTGAAATGATTCCTAATGATAATGTGCTATACGCAAAGGCCAGTGCCTTCTCCAGTCATCATCAGAGAAGCTCCCTCCTGCAACAGACAGAAACATGCTCAGACCCACAGCCAGACTTTACACAGAGAGAAAGAGTTCTTGAACAAATAGCTTTAAGTGTGATGTCTCCATCACATCCCTCTCTTGAGAGTTCTGGCAAACTGGAAGAGGAGGAGGAGGAGGAATGGAAGATCCAGAGAGGATGGAAGACACTAGGAAGGACGAGGCTCTGAATCGACTGCCAAGGCTGACAACTCAGAGACTGAAGCAGCAAGCACAGGTCCTACTCGGCTCTGCTGCAGGTGCTCTGCTTAGGTTACAGCTTAAGCTTAGTGTTTTTATGGGACTCCCACCTATTTGAGGAAATGGGTCTCTGGCTCTTGTGCCTGCTCTGGTTCTCTTTTCCTTCTGTTGGGTTGCCTTGTCCAACCTTGTCGTGCTTGGCTGTTGTCTGCTGGAAGCCTGTTCTTTTCTAATGACCGACAGAAAAAGAGTGCAAATGGCCTAGAGAGGAGGTGGGGACAAAGAAGTGGGAGGAGTTGAGGGAGGAGCTGAGGGAGGAGAAACTGTAATGAGAATGTATTGTAAAGAAAAGCGTCCGTCTGCAGTAAATGGGGAGAAAAAGACCTCTAATATGTTTAAGGATCTACTTATTTGTGTGAATGCTCCATCTGCTTGTACTCCTGCATGCCTGGAGAGGACATCAGATTCCATTATAGATGGTTATGAGGTGATGAGAGTTGAACTTAGGACCTCTGGAAGAGCAGCCCAGTGCTTTTAAATGCCACCCACCCCATTTTCTCTGCTACAGATTTTAGATATTTTATATAATTGGAATCATATGATGTGATTGCATCTGTGTGTGTGTATGTGCGTGTGTATGTACCTTTATTTGAGTCTGTTTCATTTTTTCATTTTTCTGGTTTGGGGAAAGGGATTTCTCTGTGTAGCCATGGCTGTCCTGGAACTCACTCTGTAGACGAGGCTGGTCTTGAATTCAGAGTTTCACCTGTGACTGCTGTGCTGGGATTAAAGGCATTTACCTCTACTTGGAATTTCTTACGAGTTAAAAAGAAAGTGTATGTTTTAAAATATCTTCAGCAATCTCAAAACAGACTATATTTTTATGCTCATAACAAAACTTGTGGGAATCATATAAGCATAATTTAAAATGTAAGTATATCACTATTATTTTAAAAGTTATCAATATGATATTCCATTGACAAAAAAATATAAAGTCCTTACCAATGAAGAAATCAGAGATTATTTTTTTCCTTTTTTAGTTTCTTTTGCTTTCTTTTCAGGCAGGTTCAGATTCTCAGAACTTTCAGCTATCATAAAATCATATTTACGAAGTGCAGAAAATACAAGTAAAGTTGTGGACAATTTGCAAGCACTACCTGGGTTAAAAAAATAGTACTTATAATATAGCTATATTTTAAACAAAAGTTTATGAAATAATGTCATTTAACTGAAGAAACACATAGTTTATTTCTGAAAATATTACTTACCCAATTATGAAAATTAATACTATGTTAAATATTTTAAAGTGCTTATAAAATTTTTCATATTCATCAGATAGCCTCCAAAAGGTAATGTTGCATGAATTCGTGAACTGTATTAATTTGAAAACATATAAATGAATTATATCTTTTCAAATTTATCTGTCAATAGAAACTGAAATTTGCTTAAAGCTTTAAGTAGCTTTAGTCTTTGAATTATTGATCACTTTCCACACATAAACATTAATTTATTGGAAATATAATTGTTTTTATAGCTTTCATTTTGTTTTAAATTTCTGATAATTACAAGCATTACATAAAAATAATTAAACCTCACAAGCCCTGATAATTAGAGTAAAAATGTTGTAGCAAAACAATACCAGTTATATGATACCAGCTAAATTACAAGAAAAATACAACAACGTGTTTTCCATTTATGAAATATTTCACATATCTTAAGGAATAGTACCTCTAAGGTGTTCTTACCAGTGACACAGTTGTAGTTTTACAGTGAAAATTATAAGCAGTAAATGATTGTAATGTTTTTTTGGAAGCACAAAGTTTGAGAAAAGGAGAAATCATGAAAAATCTTCTCAGTTGTGCTTCCAAAAAGAGTGAAGAACTAGTAGGAAACCCACCCGAGAGCAACGGAAAAGTTTCCGGACAATATCTTTAAATTTCCTGTATTTAAAGAAACAGAAAATCAAGATTCAAAGTGGATGGCAGTGGCATGGAGTCTGCTCTGAGTCCATTTTCCACAGTAGATGGGATCAAGAGGTGCAAAACCACACCTTTATCCCAGAAGAACCTGTGACTGGAGTATTCTGTTGCCTTCTCACAAAGACTGAAATGGAATAATTTCGTAGAACAAAGAGTGCAAGGAACTACCAAAGCACATGCTTAATGCCGAGGAGGCAGAATTCCAAACAACAAAACAATAAGAATATGCTGTGGGAAAGCAGAATGGAAAGAGTTGGTGAGTTCATAGCCTGGTCAGGAAAGAGCAAGATCAAATGTTTGGAAGAAATTACAAGTGTGGCCTGGTGTGTACTTGCTAGTGAGATCATTGCGACTAATCAGGAGTGCACTGTTGTGCATCTGAACAATGACAAAGGGTCTTCAGAACAATTCAGAACTCTTTGGAGAAGAAGTCTGCCCCCTTCCAGGGGAGGATTCTTCAGGGTTAGCTTCCTAACTATGCTTGCTCTTTAGGGGAACTTTCTCTCCTTGCTTCCAAAGGAGTAGCACTAAGCAGCCATGGCTCAGACTTAAGTCCCAATGCTGACATGGAAGAAGTTCTAAGTGATCCTAGTTGTCCAGGGAAACAAAATACAAGTGCTTTGGGCTCCTGACAGCTTCAACACCATCCTCAGAGGAAAACCAGGGAGACTAGCCCGAAAATTGCTGCAAGGTTGGAGTCCACATAGAATTGTCCTGACAGCGCAATGCCAACTTTAGCTTTGGAAGTGAATCTCTACAGTGGACAATAGACAGTTGGAGCCACTAGCAGTAATAAGCAGTATCGGAGACAATTGTAGGAGGAGTGCAAATCACAGGCACTCTTCACATCAGTGCTCATGGGAGATTAGGTCTGAGCTTTCAGATACAGAGTCTGCTGCACCAGATTTCAGTCAGTCTTCTCTATGGCATGAGTACTCCTCTCCAGTCCCTGACATCCCTTAGACTAAGGATGTTTATCCTGTGCTTGTCATCATTATTACATTTTACATTAGGAGATCACGTATCTCAGAAGCCAGACATGGATTGCTGCAGATTGAGTGTTCATGCCTTGGAAGCTTTATCCTGTTGTCAAGACCATGGTGATGAGTCTTATAAGAGGGAGGTCACCTTGAAGACTCATAGAGAACACTAGGGATATGGATTTTACAGGTCAGTTGACCTTGATTTCTTCCAACTGAAGCAGTGAGCCTGAGCTCTGGGTTTTCTAGCTTCCCGTCTCTTAATGTGATAGCTCTCTAACACACGGGTTCCAGAAGTCATGTCAGGTAACATGATCTGATGCAGCCAAAAGGCCCTTCCAAAATTATAGTCCTATTTGTAACTTGAAACTCCCAAACTGTGGACTAAATAAACTTCATAAAATACCAAATTCAACTTTTTATATAGATCAAAATGGAATAACACACATGAAATCTATCTGGTTTGTCCATATTGTCAAAGAGACAAGTTTTCTTTTTCAGGGCAAAATAGTATTTTTGGTATGTAATGACCAATTGCCATCATCTGTTCATCAATTGGCTGGTTTGCTAAGCATTTACAGACTTACTAGATGGTGTTTCCTTTGTTAGCTTTGAATTTCTAACTGGTTCTGATGTTTTCCATTTCTTCTGAATTTATGTTTTGTTAATTTACTGTTTCTTGACTATTTTCTGTTGTTTGTCTCTATAATAATCTTCTTCTATCCTTTCTTAATGTGGGAATATATTTCAAAGTTCTCCAGTGGGTAAAAGTTTATAAAATAATTCCTGAATAATTGTATAAGCCTTTGATTATCAAAGGATTACTCATGGTTAATTATTTCCTTGTTATAAACAATTGCAAATCCTAAAAATAATTTTATTTACTTCAGTTTATATAATTCACATCACTTACATAGTCCCAACAGTATGTAGACCATTCTCGACTTATTATAGATCCAACAACGTCCTCTAATTCCACATTTATTAACATCCCAGTAAATACAAGAATTATTTGCTGTTAATCGAAAAAGTATTGGTCCGGGAATTGATCCTATAAAATAGTCAATGATTACAAGTTCTTTATAAAAAGACACTATTGACCAGCTTAAAACATAAGTGTGCACATGCACACACACACACACACACACACACACACACACACATGATCCCCTAAACATTATTTAAATTCTGTAATACTCTTATCGATTGGTTCATTAACCCTAGCAATCAGTATCCTGATCCCTACATTCTAGAAAAGAAAATATTGATGCTGTATTTCTAAATAGCATTTATGTCCACAGATTTGTGTGGCCACTGATCTTCATCAGAAAGGCTTGCTGCTGTGTCAGGTGTTGATGCAGACTTGCGACTATTCAAAGCACTGAGAATGTATGACTGTGAGGGCTCAGCAGCAGATGTGACATCTCCATGACTCTCCTCTTTTCAGAGGCTTGGGGGACAGTATAGAAGAGGGAGCTGGAGGAATCTAAGAGCCAGAGAATGGAAAGGACAGTGGTAAAATACTGACCTTTGGACATAACACAGCTGTTGCAAACATGAACTGATAAGAGCTGTTGCTACTTTCACAGGCTTATAAAAGATCCAGTTAGTAAAAAAAAAAAAACAAAACAAAACAAAACAAAACAAAACAAAAAAACAAAAAACACCACTAGGGGTTTGGAAAGGCATTGGAAGTCCCGGAAATCCAAGTCGCTTTGTAGGATTTCTCAGATCCACATTTGTGAGATGATAAAGATAACATCAGGTACAAATGTATGTCTCCAGCTGAGGCAATGTAGTTGATGCATACTTTTGTTTAACAGGATGGCTTTTATTTCACATACTTTCTGTCTGTATTTAGTTGGCTCCTAAGTTTTCCAAAAGAAATTTCCTATTCACTTGTTTTGTGTTATTTTACATTAGTACTTACTTGTAACTTTAAATAAACACATAAGAAAATTTAGATATAAATATGAACAATTTGATACATTAAACTTATCTGAAAATACATACCAAATAATCTCAACGTTGTATAGGTCACACCCATGCCCAGTGACTTTAAATTGGGAGGTAAAGTTCTGAAAGCAGATAACAAAGATATTACCTATAGAGTGACACATTATGTTTATGTTTAATATATAAATATAAATAATGTATTATATTATAAATATATCTATGAATTATGTATTATCAAATATATTATATATTACATAATTTATTCTATTAACTTTTAGCTAGTTTACCAAAGTTCAATTTGGTCTATAGACACAGTATAGGTCTTTCCTTTTCCCCCTTTCTTCATGCGTTCCCAGTTCTTCATTTTTCCTTTCATCTATTTTAATCTTTGCAGTTACTTTCCACAGGACACGAGCCGGCTTTATCATATCTACCCCATAAGTAATAGGCTTCCCTTATTTGTGATTAGTGATGTCATAATTAACATCCTTAGCTATCATGTTCATTAGGCTTTCTAAAATGTATTTGTTTGGAGAATTTTAAATATAAATTTAAATGCATACTCTGGAGAGCAGAACAAGATAAAGCAGAAATAGCACAGGAATCTCATGCTAATATACCTGCCCTCATTTACCAAAACATCTCCTTCTGCTCCTCTCTCTTCTCCCACCCTTCTCTATCATTTTAATTGCTTTCTTCGTTCCAATACTGAGTTATGTAAATTCATACATTAAAAACTACATGTCTCTGAATTACCCCACTCTTCATAGAGTACAAGCTGTATTCTTTAATGGGCATTTTTAATAACATATTCCTAGTTAGTATTTCTTCATTTTTATTTTTCTTTCTTGTTTTGTCTTCATTTGTTTTAAGACAAGTTCTCACTATGAAACCCTGGCATATGCCTATAAGTAAAGTAAATATATTTTGTTATATATACCAACTGTACAAAATAATGTTGTCTGAGCATACAATGTATTCACTTTCTGTTCCATCATCTTATCTCTACCCCAACATCCTCTTTCTGATTCCCTTAATGTCCCCTAAGAGTTTTCTTCTCTGTTCATGGCTTAAAAGAAATGAACTCCACAAATGGGATAATATATGCAATGGTTGTTGTTGCGAATGTAACTTATTCATTTAATCTGTTGATCTGCATTTTCATTAGCTTTCCAGCAACTGACATAGTTTAATTCTTATGATCAAATCATAACTTTGATATCCATTTTTGACTGTTGTTAACACTGCCTCAGTGAATTTGAGATTCCTCAAATATGTACCCTGCATCATTATGACTGTGTCTTATAGTAAATCTATTTTTAATCTTCTTGAAGAACTTTCACATTGTTCTCCATGGTGCATATAATATTTCAAGAGGATGGCTTTCCATCATCTTCACCAGATTTTTTTTCTTAAATGTAGTCATTCTACTGGATTAACACAGAATGTGAGGTGTTTCTGATTTGCATTTACTTTCTGATTAAATATATTTGACACTTTGTGTTTTTATTGGATATCTCTACTGTGTATTTGTTGGATATCTATACACCATTTGTCAACTAAATTACTTGTGCTTTATTTTTCTGAGTTCTTAATATTTTCTGAGTATCAATCTACTGCCAGGTGTATAGCTAGGAATAATTTTCTCCCACTCTGTTGACTGTCTCCTCCTTCTCTTAATCATTTTCTTTCTTTCTTTTTTTTTTTTTGGTTTTATGAGACAAGGTTTCTCTGTATTGTTTGGAGGCTGTCGGTCCAGCCTGGCCTCGAACTCATAGAGAACCGCCTGCCTCTGCCTTCCGAGTGCTGGGGTTAAAGGCATGTGCCACCACCGCCCGGCATCTTAATCATTTTCCTTACTGCACAGGTGTGTGTTTGTGTGTGTGTGTGTGTGTGTGTGTGTGTGTGTGTGTGTGTGTGTGTGTTAATATGATGAAATACCACTTGCCCATTATTCGTCCAGATTCCTGAACTTTTGGAGTCCTTTTCAGAAAGACATTGCGTTTATATCCTGGGGTGCCTTTAGAAAATGATTCAGATAGTTTCTGTCTTATAATGTCATTATGGGTTTGTTTTCTTATAGAAAGACATTTTATTCATTTCACATTTGTTTTTGTTGTTTTTCAATCAGTTTCATCCCTCTGCATGTGGACTTCCAGTTTTCCCAGCACCATTTGTTGAAGAGGCTGTATTCAATAGAAACATCAGTTTCTGCAACATAAATTTGGGGTACCTTTGTTGAAATCAGAGGTCTCTTGCTGTATGGGTTTATGTATGGGTCTTGTATTCTCTTCCATTACTATACATATTGGCCTTTATGCTAGTGTCAAGGTGTTTTTGTGACTATGACTTGGCTGCATAATTTGAAGGTGTATATAGTTCCATCATACAATTTTGAGCTCATCACTGCTTTAGCTAGTCGTAACATTTTATATTTACAGGTGAATTTTAGAATTCTCCCTGTCTTATGAAGAATGCAAATAGAGTGTATTAGTGAATAATATATGAATTTTAGATTGTATTTGGTAGGATGATCATGTCCCCAATATCAATTCTACTGATCTGTAAGCATGAAATATCTTCTAAATGGAGGACAGAAGAAAACTTTCAAGAGGCGTTTTTCCTTCTGCCATGTGAGTTCACAGGACTAAACTTGGGTTCATTTCACTAACTCAACAGAGGGTTCTTTTCCATTTTCACCTCCTGGAATTTTATAGTTTAGTTTACAGTTATCGATCTTTTAATCACCCAAATGGGAAGTCTGAATATATTCTGAGATTTCTCCATATTCCAACGAAGTGACAATTCTCACCCTCTTAACAAAGCTAAATATTTCCCCAAAATGCTCTAACATATTAACTCTAAATATCACTATTACATGCTTTTTTCTACACTTTCCCCCTTTTAGCTCAATTTTCCTTTCCATCTTCAAACCACCCTATCAATTGCACATTTGAGTGTTATCACAGCACCAAAAACATTGAGGAAGAGGACAGCATTGAGGTAAACTGTGGTTATTCAGGAAGACCCTGTCCACCAAAACACATAACTACAACAATGCAAAACAAAACAAAACATATATATCATCAATTCTGTTTGTCTAATTCAGAGAATTTCAATATGCATATGATATGTTTTGACCAAACCCACCCCTATTTTCTTATAGCACAATTAATAAAAACCCAGCGATAGAGGTTGAGGTTCAAGCTGAAGATCAGAAAAGCAAAGCAACCAAGTCATTAGAGTGTTCTCACATCTACCAAGGCTAAGAACAAAGGTGGGGGGAGGATATCCTGTCCTCAGAGTAACTACACAGTGCAATGCTCTGCACCAAAAATCTCAGATTTATATGAGCTCTTATATTCCAACCTTATATTCCTCTCTAGTGTTGAGATTAAAGTTGTGAGCCCTGTTTTCTTTTAGACTGATTCACTCTCATGTAGCCCAGAGTAGCCTTGAACTCACAGAGATTCATCGGCCTCTGTCTCCCAAGTGGTGGGATTAAAGGTGTGGCCACCACTACCTGACCTCTATGGCTTAGGTGTGTGGCTTCCTAGTGGTTTAATATGTGTGTGTGGCTAACTAGTCACTTAGGTGTGTGGCTAATTAGTGGCTTAGCTCTGCATTCTGATCTTCAGGCAAGATTTATTAGATCAAAAAGAAAATATCACCACATTTTTCTCTCCACTCCAGTTCCTTCTTATTCTATAGCCTGCTTTTTCCCATCAGAACCATATACGTGGTAGGATATTTCACACATTTATGTCTCTACTTTTACTCTTCAGATAAGTGAGATGATGCCAGGAATGAACTAGTGGTTTTTGTTAGTTTGTTCATTTTGCTGGTTAGATTTTACTGGATACTAAGAATACAAATATACTTGTTAACTTGAAAAAAACACATTTAGAGTAATACCTTCTGGTTTTTGTTAGTTTGTTCATTTTGTTGGTTAGATTTTACTGGATACTAAGAATACAAATATACTTGTTAACTTGAAAAAACCACATTTAGAGTAATACCCTTTTATTCTGTTCCTAACATAAAGATGAATTTTTGGTGGGCTTTACATATTCTGGAAGAACATGTGAATGACAAATGTAGAACTAGAGACAAATACTCATACCCATGGGTGAACTTCATACTCACATCTCTGCTACAGTTAAAATTTTTCCCATTTGTGGATTCTTCATGTGTGTTATACAAAGTGAGTGTAATCTATGGTTTGTATTAAACTTATTTTGTTATTAATGTATGGATAAATATGTTTTCTAGATAATTATAACGTTAGAAAGTAATATGAGCAGTCCCAAAACTGTGTATACTTAGTTTTAAATTAATGTGAAACTAAATGCAACATCTACACAAGTGAGGCAAGTAAACATGTACAAGGGAAAATTAAACTTATACACAGATTTCCACAAAAATATTTTCTCTCTTTATTTACTACTTTAAAACATAGAAAATCTTTTGCTGTAGCAATATGAACAATTTCTAAATGTACAATTCTTATGTACTAAATGTATAATAATTATAAGTGTTACATACTTACCGAAGGATAATCAAGATGATTGGTATAGTAGCTGAACTAGAAAAAGCAATTGAAGAAAAGAAAAAAGCAAAAAACAAAGGAAGTTTAAAACACTTGGTATTACATTTTCCAGGAAAGGCGTCAACAAAATCACCTTCAAAATCTGCAGTTGTCAATCCTTCTTTAATGCAAGAACAATTGTAGTATGTCTAAGAATATTGAACATGAAAAAACAGTATTTCAGAAACAGAAAGGGGACAATAGCTTTATTAATATAAAAATAAAAATTAAATCAATATCCAAAGGGAAACTGCCCAGGGTTTTGCTTGTTTTTGTTTTAATAAATTTTAAGATTAAAATATAATCATATTAATTTCTCCTTCCTTTACTGTCTCTAAACCCTTCCATGTATCCCCCTTTCAAATCCATAGCTTATTTTTCTTTAATTGTTGTTTTTATATATGTATATTATATACACTTACATACATAAATACATACATACACACACACACACACACATAAATGTAACCTGCCCAGTCTGTATATTATTACTGTATAAAATTTTCAGGGCTGACCATTAATAACCAGCTGGTGTGTTTTTCACTGAAAAAGACTGTTTCTCCTGCTCTCAGCCTTCCTTAGACAGGGTCTCACTTTGTAAATCTGGCTGGATTCGAAATCACAGAGGTATGGCTGCTCCTGCTTCCAGAGTACAGGGATTTAAGGCATTCATATGAGAATGCCAAATTAAATAAATATTCTCACTTTAAATCTGCCATACATTACTTAGAAATGCAATATTAGTTGTAAAATCAGAGATATTTCACCTGCCAGAGAATTACTTTTTGTGTGTTTGTGGATATATAATTGTTGTAAATAAGGAAGTGTTCTACAAACTTAAGAAATAGTAGTTAATTTATATTAAATTTATTATAATTGTATAGAAATATAAATTAAGAAAAAATAAAGATAATGTAATGAATAGTTAAATTTTACCTGAGATTTGAAAAATGAACAATTACTCAACTATGAAAGGTTGTGTAAGCTCGTTACTACTTTGTTTTGTGTATAATTATGGTGGATTTGGTTTTTATTAAGCACAGACACATAGCATCAGATACCAAATATTTTTAAGAGCACATAGAACAGCAATTGTAAACCCAGAACAAGGGAGGCAGAAATACACACACACACACACACACACACACACACACTTAAAAGGCTTACACAGTTGGAGATAAAGAAATCATATAGAAATTTATTAGGCCATTTAAAATGTCCTAAGCTACAAAACAATAATCATAACAGAGAAACAAAAACAAAGTAAAAATACTGATAGTAAGAAGTTTACAGATGACCTGGGTCTGACTGATTAAGAAAATAAGAGCATAAAATCACATCAGCCTTGTTGATGAATTACTAGACATGTTAAAGAACACAAATAGCTGGCGATCCCAGCTTCAGGTGAGCTTTGGTCTCCCTAGGGCCACTCCCCATCCTCGACCCATCACCCATTCCCTCAATCTTCTGGGGGGGGCCCTACTGGTATCTAGAAGACCCACCCACACAGGAAAAGCATCAGCCCTTCCAAGCCTCAATCTCCTGCACACCAGCTTCAGCTCCTGGCATCTAGAGGACCCGTCCACACAGGTACATCATCAGTCCTTCCAGACCTCAACCTCCTGTGACCCTAGCTTCAGCTTCAGGAAAGAAGGAGATCAGTGGAGACAGAAAGACCCCACCTGCACCCACTGGAAGAAGAAATGGGAAGAAGACAGAATAAGAGCTCACTCAGCAATAGAAAGGCCAACATGACTCCACCAGAATCTAGAGACCCAACGCCAGCAAGACCTGAAAAGCACTACATAGATGAAGCAGAAGAGACAGACCTTAAAAATTATTTTATGAAGATGATAAGGACCCTCAAAGAGGAAACGAGGAAATCCCTTAAAGAAATAGAAGAAAAACCAAACAAAAAATCCATGAAATGGGGGAAAATGCAAACCAAAAAATTTAAGAAATAAACAAATCTTTCAAAGAATCTAAAGAGTACCAAGAAAAAACAACCAAAAAAATGAAGGAAACAACTCAGGCAGTTGAAGGATTGAAAGCTGAAATAGAAACAATAAAGAAAACACAGAATGAGGGGATGCTGGAAATAGAAAACCTGGGTAAATGAACAGGAACTACAGATGCAAGTGTCACCAATAGAATACAAGAGATAGAAGAGAGAATGTTAGATGTTGAAGACTCATTAGAGGATATACAGTCATCAACCAAAGAAAATCTCAAAACCAACAAATCCCTAACACAAAATATCCAGGAAATATGGGACAACATGAAGAAGCCAAACCTGAGAATAATAGGTATAGGAGAAGGCGAAGAAATACAGTTGAAAGGTACAGAAAACATGTTTAACAAAATCATAGAAGAAAACTGCCCTAACCTTAAGAAGGATATGCCTATGAAAATACAAGAATCTTAGAGAACACCAAATAGGCTGGAACAGAAAAAGAAGTCAGCACGCCATATAATAATCAAAGCATAAAACCTACAGAATAAAGAGAAAATATTCAGAGCAGCTAAAAAAAAGGCCAAGTAACATATAAAGGCAGACCTATCCATTTACACCTGACTTCTCAATGGAAACTATGAAAGCCAGAAGATCCTGATTAGATGTCCAACAAACGCTAAAGGAACAAGGATGCCAGCCCAGACTACTATACCCAGCAAAGCTTGCAATTACCATAGATGGAGAAAACAAGATATTCCAAGACAAAACCAAATTTAAACAAAACAATGCAGCCCTACAGAAAGTACTGGAAGGAAAACTTCACCCAACAAAGATGAATACACTCACAAAGTCATGGATAATCCTACTTTACCAAACACCAAAAGAAAAAGGAAGGGAAACTCACACAAAATAACACAACCACAAATAAATAAAAAACAAACAAGAATCAACAATAAGTTGTCATTAATATCCCTCAATGTCAATGGTCTCAACATGCATATAAACAGACAAAGACTAGCAGAATGGATATGTAGACAGAATGCATCCTTCTGATTTTCCAATCAAACAGACCCAAGAAACAAGCAGGTGTAGCAATCCTAATATCTAACAAACTAGACTTCAAATTAAAATCAATCAAAAGAGATGAAGAAGGACATTTCATATTCATCAAAGGAAAAGTCCATTAAGATGAAGTCTCAATTTTGAACATCTATGCCCCAAATACAAAGGCACTCACATTACTGAAAGAAACATTACTAAAACTCAAATCGCACATAAACTCTCACACACTTGTAGTAGGAGACTTCAACACTCTGCTCTTACCGCTAGACAGGACCTCCAGACAGAAACTTAACAATGAAACAAAAGAACTAATAGAAGTTAAGACCCAACTGGGCTTACAAAACATCTATAGAACATTCCACCAAAACACAAAGGGATATACCTTTTTTCACGGCTCCACATGGAACCGTCTCTAAAATTGACCACATAATAGGAACCATAGCAAACCTCAACAGATACAAAAAAAAATTGGAATAGTCCCCTGTATCTTATCAGACCATCACACATTAAATTTAGAATTCAACAATAACACAAATTGCAGAAACCCTACAAACTCATGGAAATTGAACAATGCACAATTGCACAATCCCTGGGTAAAGGAAGAAATAAAAAAAGAAATTAAAGACTTCCTGGAATTCAATGAGAATGAAGACACAACATACACAAACTTATGGGACACTCTGAAAGCAGTGCTGAGAGGAAATTTTATAGCACTGAGTGCCCACATGAAGAAACTTGAGAACAGTCACACTAGAGAATTAATAGCACAGCTGAATGCTCTAGAACAAAAAGAAGCAAACTCACCCAATAGGAGCAGATGCCAGGAAATAATCAAATTTAGGGCTGAAATCAATCAAGTAGAAACCAGGAAAACATTGCAAAGAATCAATGAAACAAAGAGTTGGTCCTTTGAGAAAATCAACAAAATAGACAAACCTCTGTCCAAACTAACCAAAAGACAGAGAGGGAGCATGCTAATTAACAAAATCAGAAATGAAAAGGGGGACATAATGACAGACACTGAGGAAATCCAGAGAATCATCAGGGAATAATTTGAAAACCTGTACTCCACAAAATTTGAAAATTTAAAGGAAATGGACAATTTCCTGGATAGATATCACTTGCCAAAACTAAATCAAGAGCAGATAAATGACCTATAACCCTTAATGAAATAGAAGCAGTCATCAAAAGTCTCCCAACCAAAAAAAGCCCAGGCCCAGATGGCTTCAGTGCAGAATTCTACCAGAAATTCAAAGAAGTGCTAATTCCAATACTCCTCAAAGTATTCCACACAATAGAAGCGAAGGATGACTGCCAAACTCTTTTTACGAGACTACAATTACCTTGGTACCCAAGCCACACAAAGACACAACTAAGAAAAAGAACTATAGAGCAATTTCCCTCATGAACATCGATGCAAAAATACTCAATAAAATACCAGCAAATCAGATTCATGAACACATCAGAAAAATCATCCAACATGATCAAGTAGGCTTCATCCCAGGAATGCAAGCATGGTTCAACATTAGAAAATCTATCAACGTAGTACACTATATAAACAAACTGCGAAAGAAAAACCACATTATCATCTCACTAGATGCTTAAAAAGCTTTTGACAAAATCCAAAACCCCTTCATGATAAAGGTCATAGAGAGATCAGGGATAACAGGAACATACCTGAATATAATAAAAGCAATATAAAGTAAACCAACAGCTAACATCAAACTAAATGGAGAGAAACTCAATGCAAGTCCTCTAAAATCAGGAACAAGACAAGGCTATCCATCTCTCCATATTTCTTCAATATTGTACTTGAAGTTCTAGCTAGAGCAATAAGACAACAAAAGGAGATGAAGGGGATACAAATAGGAAAAGAAGAAGTCAAGTTTTCACTATTTGCAGATGGTATGATCGTTTACATAAGTGACCCGAAAAACTCTGCAACGGAACTCCTAGAGCTGATAAACACCTTCAGCAAAGTGGCAGGATACAAGGTTAACTAAAAAAATCAGTGGCCCTATTATATACAGATGATGATGTGGCTAAGAAAGAAATGAGAGAAATATCCCACTATATAATAGCCATAAACAGCATCAAATATTTGGGGATAATGTTAACCAAAGAAGTAAAAGA